CTGAAGTAAAACATAGAGGTGTTTGCTGGGACTTTTTGTTGCACCAAAAACAAGTTCCATGGTCTGAGACACATGTCTCTCATATATGTGATGTCTGCACATAAACCATAAAACTCTCCAAAACATGAATAATAACCTCCCCAAACATTAATAATAACATTTCTTATAGCTCCATTGTTCTTTCCTGTGTAGCTAGCTGTGGTGTCAGCACACAACCCAATGATTTGATCAGATAGCTCATAGTATTCAAGGATACTTTGAACGGCTACAGCTTGGTGGCTTCCCTTGGAGCTTTTAATTTTCAAAATACCAAGCAGAAAATCTAAAGGGTCAGCTTCAGGAGAAGAAACACTATCCTTTCATGACTTGTTGAAATTGCTTCTTCACTGGTGTACTGCCTTTCAATTTTAATATGAAAATGAATCACTAGCCTTAAATCTCTTACTTTCTCCATGTTCTGCTCTCAAATGATCTGGGCTTCTGACTCTACTACAGTGTGTGCTTTCCTAGTCAGAGTTGATCTTTAAATCTTCAACTCCTCAATGTTAATACCGCCAGCTTTATAAAGAGATCTCAATAAACAGGTTCTTGGTGGAACACCAATACCATATCTTGTCATAATTGGGATCCAATTGTTTAGGAGTTCATCCATATTAGGCTGAAGACTTTACTTCCCCTGAAATCTTTTGGGTCTTTGTAGAAGGCATAAAAGTTTCGTCAGAGTCTGGAAGGCTATCACTGTCTGTGTACCAGGAAAATTCAAACTCTCTTTGTTCTAGTTCTTCTACCTTTCTTTTATTCTTTTTTTCTTGATTTCTGAGCATTTCAACTTGTGAACACATTTTTCTTCCATTATTCTTACTTACTCCACAGCCAAACAAGCATATTTTTAAAATCTGTTATCAATACCCGCAATTTTGACCATGTGTCCTTTAAGACAGTGTTTTAGGAATTCAATGTCCTCTTTTTGAGCCTCTTTGTTCCTCATCGGATCACTCTTTATCAAGCTAAAGATGTTGGCCTTATAAATTAGGAATAAAAAGTTGCTTTCATTTAGAAAGTTGTTTACTTTCTTGCAGTAGCTTCCTAAAAAGACTCAAGACTTAAAGTCTTAAGTTTTTTTAGGGATTAATACTCATTGATCTTGTTGGTAATTTTGTTTCGGATTTGCTGCTCTGTGAGTATGAAATTGTTGTCGAATCCAACTTTGCCCCACAAGTTTACTAGTTCTCTCAAAATGCAAACACCTCTGATTGTCTGTCGCCAATTCTCTTCATACATTCCTTCAGCTAACTTGCTGCATTTCAAATAACTCTTTCCAGAAACAAGGGCACATCTAACTTTACAGTTCATCTTAGTAGTGCTAAAAAATGTCAAATGGTTAAGTAAAAATAAACAGATAAAAGTCAAAAATTTTTCAGACGTTACCTAGTTTCTTTTATAATGTTGAGCCAGTAAAACCTTCTGAGCAATTCTCCAGTTGTTGGAAGTCGATTTAGAGCAAAGCTTTGCAGTGAAAATCCTAATAAATAAAACTGTCTACGCTTTCTTGCAGCCTGTCTTACATCTTCTTTTTTTAATAATCTATTTTTTAATAATTTTTGTTATGCTTTATAAATAAAAATGTGTGAGTAACTAAAAAATAATTTTATTAATAATATTATTAAAACATTTACATAAATAAAAAAATGTGTTTGCTAAATTCTCCTAACATTAAAAAAGTTATTACAAAATAATAAATTAGCAACATAATATTCTATTATATAGAAATTGACAGAAATCACCTTCTTTACCTTAGAGTTGATTTGAAAGGCTCAAATTTTCACTATAAGCTACTAATATTAATATGATAACAATTAAACTTTTCCACATTTTTATTTTCGAAAATTTTTTTTTTTTTGAGAGACCCTAATGTATATATAAACTAGGGCCCTACGAATCAGCAGTTTTTGTTTCAAATCAAATCTTGAAACTTGAAAGCAGTCCTTGATTTGCAATTCGAATCACGTTTTGAATCAACATTTTGATTCTAAATTTAAGCATTTTTTATTTCATTTATATATTTCAAATTAAAAAAACAAAAAAACAATTGCATAATTTCTTTATTGATGCTTCTTGCCCTGGTTAAGCTTTTAATGACTAATTAAAAAGGTATTTAAGGATAAGTAACGTTATTTTGATAGTGCCAAAGCGAAGATTATCTAAAATACCCACAACAAAAACAAAACAACTAAGGATTCAAATTTTTTTTCAAATTTGAATCCTTAGTTGTTTTGTTTTTGTTGTTCAAATTCTCGAATCAAGTTTTTGATTCGATTCGATTTGAAATTTCGAAACTTTGCAGGGCCCTAATATAAACATTATTATGATCAGCATGATCATGATGATGTTTATATCATAATCATAATTACCATGATCATGATCATGATCATCATGATTATCTTCTTTTTCAGCAAATACTACACCATATAAATACTAAAGTTTATATAAATATGAAAAAAAAATTGTATTCCAGCATCTTTTTTTTATTAATTCACCTCAAGGCCGAGAAGGCCACTACACGAGGAGGCTACTTATTTGTGGTTATAACCCTATTATTCTGAAACACAAACCTTGACGAACAAGGCCGCTGCTCGGAGAAACAAGTTGAGTGTGGTACTACCAGGGATGTGGTGGGGATCCAACTCAGAACCTCTCGCTTATGAAGTGAGCGCTCTACCACTACACCACTACCGCATATAGCAAATATATATGTTTATATCCATAATATGTATGGATAAAGCACATCTTAGAAGCTTTTATTCCTTCTGGAATAAAAGTTTTATTCCTTCTCTTCAAATTTAAGTCAAGCCTCATTTTACTCCACATTTTTCACCATCTTGAGCAGTTACTTTATTAAACATTAATCATTTCTTTTATCTTTTTTACAAGAACATCTATTTAAAAAACAAATGTCTTTTTATTATTCCAAAAGTTTCTGTCTAATATTAAGCTCTGTTATTCTTATCTCAGATGTTAGGTCCTAGAGACTTTTGATTAGTCTTCAACAGCATTAATCTCTAACTCATAGGCTGATCTTTTTAGTCCTCCCCATAATAAAGCAGAGTTATTTGCAAAGAAATCTTACTCTAATAAATCTTACTCTAATATGACTCTTGAATCTAATGGCCATACTCTTCCTGTTAGTTAAAAAAATTAATCCATTGTTAAACATCCAAATCACTCTGGCTTTTAATTCTAAAGTTAATTCTCATTTAAACACTTCTACAGTTTGTGCTTCAGACAAGATTTCAATCATAGTCTTAAAAAGTGTTCTCCAGAACTCTCTTTAATTTTTGCTAAATTTTAAAAAGTGCTAAATAAGTGGATCCAATTTTTCAAAACTCTAGAAAACACTTTACGATCATGCTATTGATAAGGTATTTCTTAAGTTAAGAATAAGCTAGACAGAAAGCGGTCTCCATCAATTTCAATACACACTCTTGGACAAATCGCCATAGCCAAGTTACTCTCACCAATTCATGCTAGTCACTCTGTATCCTTATATTCAAATACAAAAGTTTGATGGATCTTCAAATTATTGAACATTGCCGATTCAGAACTTTTGTATCTAATTGCTTAGGGGGCATTGCTGAAATAGTAAAAGAGTTTGTAACCAGTAGACAATCAATCTAAAACTTTTTTGAAACAACTGTGGACAAAAACTCAAACAAACATGTACTGTATCAGTTTATATACAAAACGATTAGTTCATTTTTTGTTCAGAAGTAGGCTAGATAGTTATTTTTAATAATGGTATTAATAAAAATAACTATCTAGCCTATTATTTTGATAAAGGATTTCCTACTTAGAATCGGCAAGAGAAGAACAGACAAATCAAAAAATACTAAATATGATTCAAGCTAGAGCGGTGTGCAGGGATTATCTTTTTCTGGATATTTCCAGAAATCCGAATATTTTTCTCAATTTTTAGTCCAAAACAATTTCCATGCATACAAGTTTATGTATATATTTTTGTAATATATTTATTTTTTAAGCTTTTCCACTCATCACTAATTTAAAAATTATGAAAAGTTTAGAAAAAAAATTGGAAACAAATAAACTAAAAGAAAAATTAAGAGACAAATAAGCAAAAATATAGTCTGGATTTTTTGCGGATATTTTACCTAAATAATTTTCTGGATTTTTAAAGTATGACCTGGATGATCCATGGGTCTGCAATGCTGACGTAAACTGTTGCATAGGAAATCTTCTTGCTGCTATCTTGCCTGAAATTATAGATGCATTGATTCGACAGTTCAAAAATATGGACTTTTCACCTCCTGTCATAACCATCCAGACTCTAATAATGTACAAAAAGAATTTGATCTTGAAAGTGAAAGAGCAGGTGGCAAAATTGAGCACCTGCCACTGACAAATCTCGAAATTGAGTCAGAGTTTACAAAGCTGGACAATCACAATAATTTTTGTGGTGGAACTCCATCAATACAGATCAATTTTAGAGTGTTGTGACTTACTTGCTGAATTCAGATTTTTAGAAATACCTGGAAGCGAAAGAAACATTGGAAATGTGCAAGGACTTCCTGCAAAGTTGGACAAATCAGGAAGCTAGATGCTGATTTCTTAACTTCAGTGTAACAGGCTCGTCAACCTGTGGCAATTAAACATTAAAAATTGTCAAAAAAATGAGTTTTACAAACTTAAATGATCCTAACACTATAATAACTTCAGTATTGTGAAGAGTGATGGCATGTGAATGTTTGTTCATTTGATTGATAATATTGATTATTAAAGTGTTAGAATTTTTAGTCCATTCATTGATTTGTGAATCGGGTAACAAATGGTCAATCAAATATTGTATTAGCGCCTCATTGTTTTTAACATATAAATGTTTAGATAATAATAATATTGGGCTTGTGATACTTTGTATGTATGAAATGATTGCAGAATTAAATTCAGCAACCTTGAAATCCTATAAAATATTGGATATTGGAGGCCATGATTGTGGCTACTTGAAGTTTGTGGCAATGGCTATTTTTTGCGGCCATCTTGTAAAAAATGCACTTTTCTAATCTAAATTGTCATGCAATTTCTTTTAAGAATCAAATTCTGCTTTAAATTGAACTTTTAGGGACATTGAAATAGAAAAATATTTCTTCTGTGTCCATTTGACACTAATGATCAGTAAAAATATTTTTCTTCTTTTTCTTTCTAGTTCTTCAATTTTGTTACTTGTTATCATACTTTAAAAACAACAATTTGAAAGGACGAACACTGTCATTTCAATGCCCTTATTAACAAACTTGCATATGAACTTAATCAATATTACATTGTTGCAATATTCAGACATTGATATGAGCTTAGATTGTTTTTGACAGTATTGGATTGTATTGTACCATCTATTTGTTAACAAATATTATATAAAAATAATATTTGTTATAAAAGGTTAGTGCAAAATGTACATTAAATTTATACCCTGAAATGTTAATATACTAAACTGTTCAATATTAATCAGTGATCTGATTAATTCTGTAAATTTTTGTTGTAAATTTTTTTAAATTATTATTTGTTTTTATTAATACATTTATTTAGAACCATAGTTTAGAAAATAAAGGTGATGAAAATAAAGATGGAGCTTCTCATAGTAATATTTCAAATTTTAAAGCAGTTGAAAATGAAGATCTATTTAGTATAACACATCCTAACACTGTTAATTGCGAAGGTATTAAAACTGTAGAAGCATTTTTTGTGGGAGTGTTGGAGCAATCGTCTGACAAAAAAATTGAATCAAATAAAAACTCGGAAAAAGCAGAGGTAGATGTGTAATTAAATTTTTTCATACAGTTATTGACTGTATTATGTGTGTACAGGTAATTTGAATGGTGAAATTTGTATAAATTTATTAATATGGTGTTTATTATTTTTTATTTGTCATTTACTTATGTAGATGTCTCTTGTTCCTTAACTTTTAATGTACTGAGCCTATTCAATTAACATTCACCTGTATACCAAAAAATCAGTTGATTTTTTTGTCTTTACTTTTATGTATAAATAACTTTAAAAAATTAAGACTATTGTTTTAATTAAGAACTATCTCAAGAAATGTAGAAATATTTTTAGATGAGTTTTTTTGTTTTTTTGAGATTCTGCTTACGGTTTTTTAGAACTTAAAATAAATATTTTCTTTCTCGACATTAACAAAAAAAAAAAAGAGGATAGTATCAAAGGGTTGTTGCTTACCTTTTTTTCCAAATGAGTTAAGAGTATTACATACATTAAACAAAATAAAACTTCAAATATTATTTTAAATACTTTTATAAAAACTTTAAAATTTATAAAAAGTTTAATATAAGTTATAAATAAAGTTAATGTGTTGCCAAAAATATCCTATTTGTAAGTAATGTTTTACTTTTTACTATTTTTTACTTTTTAAAACCTCTAAAATTAAATATAGATAGTTTGATGCAAGTTTCAAAATTATGTATGACATTGATAGAATAAAATAAAATATTACTAAATTAGTAATTAAGTGTAAAATATTACAAATTCAAATTTGATGGAAATAGCATCCTTTTATCATAATTTAAAAATAAAAAAAAAAAATTAAAAAAAATATATCTACAATTTTTACTACAAAACCACATTTTAAAAATTAATGCTGCATTTTTTCAATTTCCAAATTATTAATGTTCTACCTAAATTAAATCAAAACTTAATATACCCCTAATAAACCAGGAAATAAAACAAAAATGAAAAAAAAAATTAGAAAAAACTAATAAAATAAAAAACAAATATCAGTAAAAAAAAATAAATAAATAAATGTTCTGAAATATATAAATAAAAATATTTTAGTCTATTAATAGTCTATTAATAATATTCTATTATATATAGTCTATTATAAGTTGTTTTTTTGTGGTATCTTAAAAATAGTAAAATTAAAAAAATTTCCTGAATTATTTTAAAGGATTTTTACATAAAGTAAACATTGATCACAAAGAGTGTTTTTTTTTTTACCATAAACATTGTACATTAGTTGTAAGTATAGGTTATATTTATATATATAATTAGTTAGTTATAATGAGTTGCAATGTGAGTTTTTCTGCTCACATGAAATAACCCATCCATCTATAAGTTACTGTAGCAACTATGCTGGAAGTTGTCCAGCTGATTTTTGAATGCATTGACTGTTTCTGCATTTACAGTATTGTTGCATATATATATATATATATATATATATATATATATATATATATATATATATATACACATACATATATATATATAGTAAATGACCGGGGCCCTAGCTAAAAATGAGTCTTTTTGCAAACCTGGCCCCAGGAAAGTTATGATTAAGCAGGGTTGATAGCCAGGGCTAGAAAAAAATTCAGAATACTTTATATATTATAATTTTATACTTACATTTACTATTTATTAAACCATGACAGGGTGTTAATCAGAAATAAATTTGATACAGCGTTTTAACAAAATTGGAAATTTGTCATGTATATTTTTTTACCCCACTTCAGTGCTGCATACATTGATTGGACAGCGCTAAAAATAAAATAAAATTTGAAGATGAATATAAAATAAATACAAAATTAAACGTGGTTAATATCAACAATGCAAATTAAGCTACGATTTCCAAACATATATTAAGAATTATATATTTTTCTATTATAAAATAATCAGTGAATAATAGTTAATTATTATTAAGAATAATATAGTTGATTTATTTTTAATTGATATATATTGTTGCCGCTTTCATTTCAAGAGCATTCTTTTGAATATATATTTCTTTTTCACTGTAATATAGTAATATAGTGATTTATATTCAATGAAAATCTATGAGGAAGAAAACCAATGATCTTCTACTGCTAATTGTTAATTAAATTTTGCTTGACGTCCTTTATAGATGACTCTTGCATCATATAAATTGTGTCATCAAAAGAAATGTTTTAAAAATAGATAAGGTTTTGAAAATAGTAAACACGAGCTCGTAAATTTTATATTTCACTTTTATTGCGAGTTCAATTTTATAAATAATAATTTTCTTTATACATAAATTGCATATTGAAATAAAGTTAAAATTACAGTCTCTGCAAAAACAACAACAAATGTCATTTAGTTATAGAAGAGTATTGATCGAAATTTACTTTCTCATTCATAGTTATAAAATGATATGACTATGTTTATTCAAAATGTTATATTTTAAATTCAAGCAAGCAGCGAATCTTGTTTTTGGTTATTTAAATTTGTAGTACCAGTTTGTTGTAATAAAAAAAAAACATTCTTGTTATTAAATGTATTTAGTTTAGGTTTTAATATACATATTTACGTTTTAAATACAAGTAAGCATTAAAGTAAAGAAGTCTATTATTATTCAATAAATTTTTAGTACTAGTTATAATCACAAAACATTTTTTTTATTTAACTTTTAATTTTTTTATTTAATTCAGAGGTGGTTATTTAAAAAAGTAAGTGAATTAATAGTAAATAAGTAAAAAAAGATTTTAGTCAATGTGGTCACCTAATTCAGTTGATATAAAATACCAAACAAAAAAATGTAAAACAGTAACTAAAAGTCTTAGGGATTGTTCATAAATTACCTAACGCAAACTTTCTCAATAAATAAAACAAAAAAGATCAAAAGAGTCTTAATTTAAATATAAAATCAAAATAGCCCCATTCAGTTTAATCAAAATTGTAAAAGAATCTCCAACTTTTGTTTTTTAAATACATTTTGCATTGCATAATTTATGGACGACCCCTTACCATAATATCCGTAGTTGATCAAAATTTTGAAAAAACCAAAATATTCTCAATATTTTTGTTGACGAGGTCATGTACTACTTGAAGTTGAGTTTGCAGTAAGACTTTCCAGTAACAACTTTTCAGCCGAAAATGGAGAAACTTTTAAAGAAGTAGCATTTGCGGGTGTTAAACCAAACAAATTTGTTATTATTTTAGATTTTTTAGATTATTGCATTATTTCTTGCTAACTTTTTTATATAATACTTGCTGATGTTGGATTGCATTGCAAAAAAATTATTTGCAAATTATGAGAAATAAATTTTACTAGCAAGTTGCCATGAAAATCCCTAAAATTGGTTGAGAAGTTCCAATTCTCAAAAAGTTTTGTCGAAGAGACATTATTACAGTTATGCAATTGCGTAGTTATACCAATAATGGCGATTTTATTTCAAGTTTTACACAATTAATGAATTAGAATTTTTTATTTTGTTTTTCTATTAGTCTTTAATAATAATTAATTTTCAATAATTTTCAGAGTTATTATTAAATTTTAACTTGGCAAACTTTATTTGGAGAATGGAATTTTTTCACCTTTAAGTTGGGAATTTTAATTTTATGAGAGTTTGAGAATACTGTGTTTGACAGGGTGCCACAGGGCTAGTTTACACTCTGCATGACAGCATTAGTGAAAAAAAAAAACACAACATTGCAACAATGGAAGAGTGGCTCAATCTTGGCAAATAAAGCAGGTCTAATTACATTTACAATGTGCTTTTAGTCTTTGTCTGCTTGTTCTAAACAATCAAAAAGTGAAGACTTTTTTGTCAAGACAAGAGTATAAAGTTGAGTCGTCAGCAAATAGAGCTACTTTATAAGTAAAATATTCATAAAAAATGTTTTATAAATAAGAAACAATACAAAAGCAAAGGTAGAACCTTGTGGTACCTTTAAAGTTAATTGAAAATGAAGAAGAGTGTGGGCCTTCAAGAATAATTTAGCACTTTTTGAAAATTTAACAAAAATTGAAGAGAGTTCTAGAGAACACTTTTTAAAACTATGATTGAAATCTTGTCTGGAGCACAAACTGTAGAAGTGTTTAATTGAGAATTACCTTTTACATTGGAAGCTATAGGTATTTAGATGTTTAGCAATGGTTTAATCGTTTAACTGGTTTAACAGGAAGAATATGGCTTTTAGATTCAATAGTCAAGTTAGGGGAAAAGTTCTTCATAAATAACTCTACCCTATTCTAGGTAGAAGTAAAAAGATTGGACCCATGAATAAGAAACTTACTTTAGTTAATGACATTGTTAAAGACTTTCCAAAAGTCTCTAGAACCTAATATCTGAAATAAGATACAAGATTTAGTAAATTGAAAATAACAACTCAACATTGAACAGGACCTTTTTACACTGGCTTCTTGCAATAATATAAGGACACTTGTTCTTAAAAGAGATGTTCTTGTAAAAATGATGAACAAGATGGTGAAATATGTTGAGTAAAATGAGGCTTGACTTGAAAGAAGGAATACGGAATAAATTCTCCAAAGATGCGCATTATGCATACACAATATGGATATAAAAATATATGTTTGCTATTTATTTATATGCTGGCATACATTATCCTTTTATATTTATAAAAACTTTTGTATTCTATTGTTTTAGTATTTGCCGAAAGAGAAGTTGATCAGATGGATATGTGTTGTGACTCTAACAAGACAAGAAATTGAGACATAATCTTAAAGAGATTTTTATCCAACAACATTTGTTAGAAAAGATTAAATTTTATTTAGGTAATTGATTTAGGTATCAGTACGTAGAAAGGTAGCAGCTTCAGGAGAAAATGGAAGTGGTAGAAGTAAGAAAACTCTAAGAGAGTGCCTTACATTTTGTATGAATGAGCTTTAGTTAAGGAAATAAAATGCTATTGATTGTTTATATTAGAGAAACACCATAAAAGAGGAAAGCTAAAACCTAATGATGATGATGATGATAATGATGATGATGATGGCGATGATGACAATGATAATGATCATGATAAAGATCATGATGATCATGTTGATCATACATGATTTATACATACATTTATAAATACATATTCAAAACAAATATAATAGTTACAAAAAATTGCTCTTGCCTTAAAAACTGGTGTCTTTTACCAATGGAATGTTTGTTACTTTATTTTACTTATGTAAAATGGGTGCCTGGGTGTTGCTTGGGTAAGAAGTATGAACATGATTAAATAAGGAATGTTAAAGTGATCAGAGTCCAGGTTTTTATATTGGAAAGCATATCACAAAACATAGTTTAAATAAAGAAATTAATGCTCTCTTTGAAGCAAAAATAATTATTAGTCCCTTTTAATATGTTTCAATAATAAATTTTTTTATATATAAAATAATAAACAAGTAACAAAAAAGTCAACAGATTAAAGTATGGTTTAAACTTTTTGATTTAAGTTATTAAAACTGAGGTACGCATACACATGCAAGTGCACACATATACACATGTAAGTATGCATACACATACATACACATGTAATTACCTGTTAAATGAAAGAAATATTTTTTTATGGTAACTAAAAGCAAAATCAAATAGGCTTTGACATTTAATGACCTAAGTTTCAAATTTACTAAATAGTTACATGATTTTTAATTTTTTTCAAATGCACAAAAGTAATTTCTTGGCTAAGGGTTTTTTGCAGATTTAAAATACATATAAAAAACATGAAACAAAATTTTTTAAAGGTTACACAATATTTTTAAAATTATTTTTTAGGATCTAGCAGAAAACAAGCATCATGAAGAAAGTTACCACTTTGAATCAAATCTATCTGAAAACAAAGGTGTTGGTAGCTCAACTGAAAACATTGGATATAACGCTGATGGCAGAGAAAAACTTGACAATCTTTCAATTAACTCAAAAGAAGATGTGATAGTTGTTATTAATTTTTTTATTATAATTTATTTTAATAAGTTAACTTTTTTGATAAAAAAGTTGCAATATCATTAATAGAAAAAGAATATATATATATGTATATATATATATATATATATATATATATATATATATATATATATATATATATATATATATATATATATATATATATATATATATATATATATATATATATATATATATATATTATATTGTATTATATTATATTAGAGTGCCTCTAAAAACAACTTTTTTTGAAATTGTTTGCTACCACCTCTAAATATGTTCTATGTAATAAATAATACTAAATTTAAAAAAATTTTAAATAAAAAAAATTATATTTGGTCAAGTTGTGGCAAATAAACATTATATGCATGGTCAGGAACAGAGTGCAATCACATGTCTTTCCCAAGCAAGCCTGTTAATATAGAAAATGAATTAATTACTTAAATTGGATTTCAAAAACGTAAGAAAAAAAGCTGAAAAAAAACAAGAATTAAAAAAAATTAAGAAACTTAATGGTTTTTTGAAAAAAAAAAATCTTCGCTTGCAGATTACATTCAGAATTTGAAAGACAATTACGATGATTTTGAAACTGAAGCTACAATTTTACTACCTGTTACAGATTGTTCACATAAGAAACATTGAACAAAGAAAAAATTCTTTTATGATCCAAACCATGAAAAATGTATTTTAATAAGTCCAAAAGAAAGGTTTCAGAAAGATGTTTTTATCAAAGTCGCCAATGCAATTTACTCAAATTTGAATAAAAGGATAATTGTATATCAAGAATCTAACAGAATTTTTGGATTTTTGATTAATGTGAACATCGATAATGCGAAGCTAAAGAAAATTGTTGAACAATATCATGAAGATATCGATGTCTTTGTCTGACATAACTTTATCAAAACTAAATATCAAGAAACATCTATGACTCACTTATTCATTTATAAGCTTACAGTGGTATACCCTCCGGTTTTTATTTCTTATTTAAGTTGTTTGCTATGATAATCAGTAGTCCGGTGTAAAAGTTTTTATTTTGTATTTTTTCTCGGGTGAAACTAATGTGTACATTGTAAACAAAAAAAAAAATTTCTATAAGTAAAAACATTGTTAAAATTTACTCTTATGCTGAACTGCCAACCTAAAAGTGTTTTAGGTCTGCAAAAAATTGCCGACTTTGTTTTTGTTAAGACCTTTGTTTCAATTTTTTTTTGACAGCCAAATTATTGCTGACCTCATTTTTCCTAATTCCGAGGGTTGTATAAAACTGATTTTATTTAGAATTTTTTATATGTGTAATTTTTAATTTTTATGCCTGCATAAAACTTTTATTTAGAAAGTTTACACATAAATGTTTGTAAATTTTTTGAAAACCTTAAATATATTAATTGCATCAATATGCATGCGTTGTATCATTAGGTTTGTGCATAATAAACATTCAACAAGTCATTTTTATAATGCGTTTGCAGACATAAGGCTAATGTAATATTAAAAGTTGACATAAGTTCTAATGAACTTATGTCAACTTTTAATAATTAAGTAAATTTAAAATTTAGCAAATAGTAATATGAATTATATTAGTAAATAATTTTGTTAAAATACAAAAAAGTGAGTTTTTGGCTATGGATTATAATTTTTGCAGGTTTAAAATAGATAACACTACATACAACTCTTAAAAGTTTTATGTTCTTAATAATTTAAATATGATTTCATAGGAACTACCTGAAAACAAGTCTGATGATAGAAGTAACCATGTAGTACCAGACCCATCAGAAATCAAGGGTATATGTAGCCCGGCTGAAAATGTTGGTAATAATGCTGATGATAAAGATAAACTTAATATTTACTCTAACACGAAAGAAAAAGATATGGTAATTGTTATATTATAAAATTTTGTTAAAAAGTTATAAGTTATTAGCTTAAAAAGTTGCATTATCTGTAATAGAAAGATTCATTTTTTAATGCAAGTTTGTTTGAAGAAAATCAAGAATTTAAATGCCAACTGTTTTCTAGGAATAATTTTTTTATTTATATATAAAAGTTTCCATTTCATAGTCTATTTGTTTTGAAAGTTTTCTACATTATATATGCAGAAAGCTTATAACATTGTTAGTATTACTTACTTTTGAAATGGTTAAAAATATTATATTTAGAATAGTTCTCTTAAAAATATTGAGACTTACCAAAAACACAACAATACAAATTTAACTGCTGTTTCTGGTTTCAGTGTTTCACAGGAAGATTGTGTGATAGCAAGTCATTATATGACCAGGCAAATTACATTTTGTTTTGATGATTTGACCCCAGTTATTTTTAAAAACATTTCAAAAATGTGCTGAATGAAAAATATTCTAAATTATACCTTAAGGGACATCAATAAATATTTTTATATTAGCGAAACGCTTCTAAATAAAGTAACAATTTACTGATAATGATTTTTTAAAAAGGATAATTGACAGTTGTATATAATTTTTTAATTTATATTATATAAATTAAGTATGCATTTTTTATAATAAATGTTATTAAAAAAAATATTAATTTTGTTTTTATAAATAATGACTTTCTAAGGCAATGAAAATTTTAATATAAGAATCATTAAAGTAATACATTAAAGTTCACCAGCCACTGTGAGCCCCATGCTGTAGCAGAAGTGAGATCCTTTTCGAGCTCAAATGCCCCCTGCAAGCAATCAAAGGAAGTTGGCTTCTTATCGTGACAAGAATAAATGGTAGTATCATCAGCGAACAATGCCACCTTAGATGTGAGCATATATGAAAGATCATTAATGTAAATTAAAAAAAGTATATGGCCAAGGATAGAACCTTGAGGAACCCCTGAGGTTACAGAATAAGAAGAAGAGTGCTGTCCATCAAGGACAACATGCAACGAATCGAAAAGAAGGATTCAATAATCTTAAAGATGTTTCCAGATACACTGTAAAAAGAAAGCTTATAGAGAAGATCAGCATGCCAAACTTTATCAAACGCTTTAGAAATGTCAAGAGCAATGGCTTTAACCTCTCCACCCTTATCTAATGCACAATAAAACCTATCGGTTATTACTGTTAGCAAATCAGCCGTAGAACGAGAATATTAAAATACTTTTATGTTTCTATTTAGTTATTCTTTTAAAAACTTCTCAAGTGATATAATTTTGTAAAACTGTTTGTTTACTAGTTAAAAAACAAAACTATTTCATTCAAAATAATTTTTGAATTTTCTGATGTAAAAATAAAAACTAAAAAACAAGTTATTTCAAACAGCTATTCTAACCATGAATTTATTTGCATAATCAGAATTAAATTAGCGTGAAAATGGAGCTAACATGTTCAAATTGTTGTTGGTCAGATTTTATACTTTATAAAATATATATATATTAAGAAAATGAACTTTTGTAATTTTCATGTCACATAAGTTAACAAATTGATAAAGTTTTGCTTTTTATAAAATTTAGTTAAAAAACTTAAGTTTTTTAATAATATATGCGAAAGAATATTAAATGTTAAATTTTTATGTTTAAAGTTTTGAATAATGATGCTTAGTTAGAGCACAATTTTATTTTAAATTTGTGTAACGTAAGTTTGAACTACAAACATTTACTTAGGTTCTGGCACTTTTTTGTTAGCAAAATGAATTATGTCATTAAGCAATTATTATTTCTAACTGAAACTTTTTATATTTGAATAATTTATAAAAATTTTTTAATGTTAATTGAAATTATTTATGTTATTGCTTTTTTATATGCTTTTGTATTCTTATTTTATTTGACATAAATAAACATAAATAAATAAAAGTAAGAATTATATAAATATTTGTATTTAGTCATTAAAAAAAAAGTTTTACTTGCTATTCTCCTAATATAAAAAAAATCAGTTAAAATTTTGTTTTTTTTGTTTTAGTAAAACAAATAGTTTGTAAATGTTATTTTCTATAAAGCACGTCACCCTATATTTGTCAATTTTTGACCCCTTCCCTCCTGTCACAAACAATCACATATACATGAATCCATCTCCCTCTAAACTGTGATAGCAGTTTTTCGTCATAAAAAATTCAAAATATTTAAATGTAAATATTTTGCAGCATTTTAAAAATTCAACCTAATGAAAATAAGGCAATTTGCATAAATGTAAAGAATGTAAGTAAAAACTTCGACAAACCAAAGATTTTCTTATAAACAACTCAAATTTGTATTAAAAAATTGTAATACTAAAATAATTTTTCAAAGTTGCTCTTGGTTTTACGGAAAAAAATGTTTTCGATTTGATAATTTTATAAATGTTATGAAAAATCATTCAAGAGTGCCACCAGTTTTTAAAAATTTTCTTTGGTAATTATTTTTAATGAATGAGTTCAATACTTTTGTTACAATTATTACAAATATATTAATACAATTGTTACAATTTGTTACAATACAATTGTTTTGTTATGTAACTCTAACTCGAAATATTAGAAGTAAAAAATCCACGATAATCGCAAAGTAACATAAGTGATTTAATGTAAGTTAGATAAAAAAAACAGTTTATTTTCCTTACGCGGTTACCTCCAATTCAATCTTTATATATTTTTCAGATTGGCATAGAGTTCTTAACATCTTATAAAAGTTTCTTATACAATTTGCTTTACTGATTTGCAGAAATCTGACCTTAAAGTTGAAGCAATTTTTTTACCTTGTTTTCTGTACAACGTAAGTTAGGTGGCATTTTCAGTCATAAGTTCGCCCTCTTTTGGCCAGACTCAAAATTTTAGCTTATTTTTTTCTTTGGATTAACAGCTTTCATACAAAATAGCTAAAAGTTTAATTTACAGTTTAAATAGGCAAATATATGATAAATTTGTAATAAACAAAAGTTAAAAATGGAATTGCCCATATATATATATATATATATATATATATATATATATATATATATATATATATATATATATATATATATATATATATATATATATATATATATATATATATATATATATATATATATATATATATATATATATATATATATATATATATATATATATATATATATGTATATATTATATATATATATATATATATATATATATATATATATATAATATATATATATGTATGTATGTATATTATATATATATATATATATATATATATATATATATATATATTTATATAGTTATATATATATATATATATATATATTTATATATATATATTTATATATATATATATATATATATATATATATATATTTATATATATATATATATTATATATATATATATATATATATATATATATATATATATATATATATATATATATATATATATGTATATATATATATATATATATATATATATATATATATATATATATATATATATATATATATTTATATAGTTAAGTTTTTTTCTAATTTTCTCTTTCATTAAGATTTTTTTTTTCTTTTTTAAAGTAAAGTTTTTTTCAGATAAGTTTTTTTAGTGTTTTTTAATATTTAGATAACATGAAAACATGTTACGTTTTAATATTTAGAAAACATGAAAACATGTTTCGTGGTCATATAATTGTGTGCAATCCATTTCTTTCTGTGAAACACTGAGTTTATAAAATTTTGTTCTAATAAAAGAAGTGTTAACATTGATTTTATAATGAATTATATATGATTAAATATTGAATTAAAATAATGATTAAATAATGAGTTTTAGAAGTAAACATGATATAAAATTTTTAAAGGTTTTATGTTTTTAATTATTTCTATAATAATTTTTAGGATCTACCCGAAAACAAGTCTCATGAAAAAAATAACCATTTAGAATCAAATCCATTAGAAAATAAAAGTGTTAGTAGCTCAGTTGAAAATATTGGTAATAACGCTGACAATAAAGAAAAACAATCAAATAACTCTAAAGAAGATGTGGTACTTTTTATAATTTTTTTGTTATATAAATAATTATGTTTTATAATTATAATTATACAGATGTTTCAAGAAGTTACAATTTTTTAGCTGTTAAAAATTTTTTCAATATCTGCAAATTTTTTAACAGCAAAAGGAGTTTGTGGTTTTGTCCACATATAGCTTTAAAAGAAATTAATTTTTTAACAGGACATCCATTATTTATCAAATTTTTTAATGTAAGTTTGTAGATAAAAAAATTTTATTAAAAGAATTTTTCTTTGTAACATATTTTTAATTATTTTTTAAATTTCACATTTAATAAATAATTAAATGGTTTGTAAATTATTTTGTAAAAATACAAAAATATTATTTTTTTTAGGTGTTAAAATATTGAATTTTTTTAACTAATTTTTATATTACTTTTTTTTTTGTTATTTTTCTATTAACTATCATAAATTATCATCAGGAAAATATGTTTTGGCAAATATTTTCTGATTATCAATATGGATTTTGATCTCCTCATTCTACTTCTGATTTGTTAATGATAATATACTGATAGGTTTTATTGTGCATTAGATAAATGTGGATAAGCTAAGGCTATTGCTCTTGACATTTCTAAAGCTTTTGATAAAGTTTGGCACACTGATCTTTTCATAAGCTTTCCTCTTACAGTGTATCAGGTAACATCTTTAAGATTATTGAATCCTTCCTTACCAATCATAGTTTAAAAGTTGTCCTCAATGAACAACACTCTTCTTCATATCCGATAACTTCCTCTGATGCTATCATTTATTCTTATCTTGATAGGAAAACCAACATTCTCTGATTGCTCGGAGGGGGCATTTGAGCTTGCAAAAGTCATGCATCTTGCATCTCACTTCTCTTACCGCATGGGGTTGCAGAAGTGAGATGCTATAATGGGCTCTGCTCTAAAGAGCTAGTGTTCTTGTGCATCTACTAAAATTTATTCTTGTGTTAGTTGTCATTCAATTAAGTTTCATCCTTTTACTGTGACTGTTCCTAAGTGCTCCAAAAATTCTTATTCATCTAGTTTTTTTCCTCAAACATCAGTTCTTTGGAGCTTGCTTCTTTTGTCTTGTTTTCTTGATACATATAATTTACAATCTTTTAAGTTGTCTCTTCTCTTCTTGTATCTTCCAACTGAAATAACTTGCTCTATAAACTTTATCTTTTCTCTCCCAGTAACTTTCAACTCAAAAGCAAACAGTCTGATTTCTTGCTTGCAGCTTTATTAAAAGTGAAGATGTAAAAAAAAAAAAAAAAAAAAATTATAACTTAATAAATAAAATAAAACCTAAAGAATTTATAGCTTATTCATTTCAAAGATTAATTACTTTTTTTGGATTTGTTTTGTTGTCAACGAAACTTTAACTTCTTGATTTTTTCTTTGCTATTTGTAAACCTACTGACTTGAAACTTAAATAAAAACAGTTTCTGCTAATTTAGTTTTTTATTTTATTTTTTTTTATATAACTTCTTGATTCTAAAGATATCATTGCAGTGTTTTGAACCAAGTTTATATCATTTTTTAGCAATTAAAAATTAATAGCATTTTTAAAAGTTAAAAAAATTTAAAAATTTATTGAAACTAACTTTGTGTTTGAATTTATAACAAAACACAACATTTTAATATCCAAAGTTGTTTTGGTATTTAAACAGGTTCTGAAAGCAACTGATTTACTATAAATTATTTACTCTAAATTTTTTTATTAAAAAAGTTAGAAAATTACACATAGAAAATTAGGATTAATTTCTAATTAATCCAAATTTTAACTCAAAAAGCAATTTACAACCTGTGTGTGCAAAAAGCATACCAGAGGCAACATTTAGAAGTAAGGTTTCAGATGCAAAGAACTTGCAAATAAAAAAAGGCAGTAGTACTTTGTATCAACCACAATGTGCATGGTTATAAGGCCTTGAAGACTGGATTGTATCCACTAGTCAAAGGTAGAGAAAAGATCAATTAAAAGTTAGACCAAAAATAAAAATAGTAAGTAATCGCTTTTTTAGGCTTTTTTAGGACTTTTTTTTTTTTACTTTTTGCTGATTAACTGAATTTGATATTCTAATAGCTTTAGTTTTTTTGTAAGTGTTGAGTGTTGATTGTAATATTTTTTACATTTTAAGAGGACCGAGATAGTAGTTTTGCAAGGTATCAACAAGACAATGTTGACTGACTACTCTTGATTTCTTAAAGTTAAATGAATGAAACATGCAGAGGAGGATGAAGTTTTTTATGTTCTTTTCTAATGGAAATTAGAAAAGCCCTGGCAAACAAGAAGTAAGTTTACTATTTTTTTGTAGTTTTTTTGGTTATGTTTGTTATTTGTAATAAAATTTAATTAATTGACAATAATTATTTTGTTACCTTTTTTTTTAAATATATATTGCAGTTAATTTTATTCTTTCAAATTAGAAAAAAAATTTGAATGTACAGAACATTTAAAACCATTTTTTTTTTATTGTTTCAGATTTTGTCTTTCATTTTGGTTACAATTTCATGCAAATACACATAAGTTTAACAGTAAAATGCTAGGATCACATATCAGTGAACAAAGTACTGTAACAGCGAAATGGCTAGTTATCATAATAAAAAAAATGTATCCAGATAAATGAAAATCTTCATCATGATTATAAAAATTCCAAGAATTCCAAAAATTCCAAGAATTATTGATGACGGCTCAACTCAACTCTTGAAACTTCACAACAAATCCACATCAGATCATTCTGCCTTGGGAGAGGTTATAAGATCAGTCCCATGAATGAGAGATAGAATTTTAGACCTACCTTTGTTAATGGCGCTATTCAAGATTTTTAGAAAGTCTCTAGAGCCTAACTTCTGAGATAAGATGTGAGATTTAGTGAACTGAGAACAATAAAGCTTATTACTGACAGCACCTTTTTACATCAATTTCTTGCAATAATAAATAGCTGTTTGTTCTCAGGAGAGCTGTTCTTTTGAAAAAGATAAAAAAAAATGATTATGAATAGATAAAGCAGCTGCACAAGAAGGTAAAAATTATGGAGTAGAATGAGGTTTGACTTGGAACCAACGAAAAAGAACAAAAGCTTCCATTCATGTCTGAATTCAAGAGATTACGTAGGATGTTTATCAGCTGAGAGGGAAAAGACATCAGCTCAAGAACTGTCACAAAGAAAATCACAAAAAGAAAATCACAAAAAGAATCTCAATCAGCTTGAGGATAGTAGTAAGTAGTGCAATGATAGAGTGACTCTAAAAAAGAAGTAAAAGATGAAAGATTTAGAGATAAAGAAAGAAAAAGGAGACAAAGTTTAATGGATGGCTGAATAAGTGCGAATTTCATAGGTACAAATAGCGTAAGCGCGAATTGGCATAAGTGCGCCAAATAAAATTTTAAATATTGGCATAAATGAAAATTAGTATTTCGCACTTATGCAAATTTGTACTTATGCCAATGTTTGTAAATTTATTTAGCGCACTTATGCCAGTTCACACTTATGCCAGTTTTTGTTGCTGCTTTGCACATATGCCAGTTCGCACTTATGCCAATTCACATTTATGACAATATTTGCAAATTTATTCGGCTCATTTATGCTGATTTGCAGTTATGCCAGTTTGCACTTATGCCAGTTTTTGTAACTGCTTTGCAGGTTTGCCAATTTGCACTTATGCCAATTCGTACTTATCCCAATGTTTGCAAATTTGTTTGGCGCATTTATGCCAATTTGCACTTATGCTAGTTCGTATTTGTGCCAGTTTGCACTTATGCCAGATTAAACTTATGCCAGTTTTTGTAACTGCTTCGCGCTTATGCCAGTTCGCACTTATGCCAATTCGCATTTATGCCAATATTTGCAAATTTATTTGGCGCATTTATGCCAATTTGCAGTTATGCCAGTTTGCACTTATGCCAGTTTTTGTAACTGCTTCACACTTATGCCAATTCGCACTTATGCCAGTTCGCATTTGTGCCAGTTTTTGCAATTGCTTCGCACTTATGCCAGTTCACACTTATGCCAATTCACACTTATTCCAATGTTTGCAAAATGTTTTGACGCACTTATGCCAATTCGCACATATGCCAGTTTGCACTTATGTTAGTTTTTGCAACGCTTTGCACTTATGCCAGTTTGCACATATGCCAATTCGCGCTTATGCAGCCTCCCGAAACTAAACACAAGCTAGGATCAGAGATTTATATACACATAAATATATATATATATACATATATATATATATATATATATATATATATATATATATATATATATATATATACATATATATATATATATATATATATATATTTATATATATATTTATATATATATACATATATATATTTATGTATATATATTTATATGTGTATATATATATATATATGTATATATGCATATGTGTGTATATGGATATTTGTGTGTATATATATACACTATCTAAAGGGTATTTTTATAAGCATTTGCTCACTTTTTTTGCTTACCTTTATCCATACGGCTTTTTGAGAATAAGAAGAAAAAAAATGAAGAATGATGAATAAAACGATTGCTGCCCCATCTCAAACCCTAAGTCGATGTAGCAGCACTCCACTGCGATTCAGGCTATTTGTCAGTTGTTGTATGTACTGAAGCCCAGCAGCAGGCTATTTCAGTATGAAATATATATAATATATATATTTATAATATTAATAATATATATTTATAATATTAATAATATAATATATATATATATATATATATATATATATATATATATATATATATATATATATATTTTTTTTTTTGCAAACTGAAAATGGGAAGTGGTCCCCCAAACCCTATTTTGGAACCCTAAATTGACCAAAATTTGTATAAAAACTTAATCTTGTAATTCTATTTTTATTTCATAGAAAATACTGCTATAAATTGATCTAAAAACAAATAATATAAATTATTATAATGTTACAACATAGAAGTTCACAGAAGACAGGAAAGTACAAGCAAATTTAGATTAACCCCTGTCAGCATTATTTACCCAAAAT